AATTCTCTGCTTCAAATTCAGGATTTCCCTGGGCATCATCCTGTGCAGGAAGAGCAAATGATTTCACAACATCCTGAAATCAAAACCCCTGCTACCTGTCTTGCTAAAGACCAGAGAAAGCCGACAACTAACATTTTCTGAGCACTTACTGTGTGCCTGGTACTGCTGTGAGTGTGCTACATGTATTATTACCCATAATCCCCAAAGCAACTAAATGAGGTAGGTGTTGTTTGTTCTATTACTGTAATTTAGGAGAGGAAACTAATTTACAGAAAAATTAAAAACTGTTCAAGCTCTAATGCATGGCAGAGCCCAAACTCCAAGTTAGCAGACCCAAAGAACATCTAAAAACATAGTTATCTTGAATATTTTCTTTTTGTCCCTAAAGGCACCCTCTGCAGCCTTCTCCGGCCTCCCAGAAGGCTGATTTCTATGAATTCCATCCACTGAGCTCCCTTGTCTCCTACTTTCCAGTTCAGTTGACCAAAAAGTTACAAGCAAGAGATCAAAGCATATGAAGAGACTGAGATCAAGATATTTCCTGACTGTTTTTATTCCCTGCTGGGCCACAGATTGGCTGTCACTCTTTTCCTCTACCAAAGATTATTTCTACAGCTAGAGATGTCTCTTGGTTCCAATAACACCACCTCCTCTTTCCCCTTTAGACTGAGCTTACTGGTTTTGAGACACTTCATCTCTTTTTTTTTTTTTTGAGACAGAGTTTCGCTCTTGTTGCCCAGGGTGGAGTGCAATGGCACGATTTCGGCTCACCACAACCTCAGCCTCCTGAGTTCAAGCAATTCTCCTGCCTCAGCCTCCCCAGTAGCTGGGACTAAAGGCATGTGCCACCATCCCCAGCTAATTTTTATATTTTTAGCAGAGAGAGGGTTTCACCTTCTTGACCAGGATAATCTCAATCTCTTGACCTCGTGATTCACCCACCTCGGCCTCCCAAAGTGCTGGGATTATAGGTGTGAGCCACCGCACCTGGCCACTTCTTTGTCTGTTGTTCATGTCCCTTAACGCTGTCTACAGTTTTTTTCAAATAGACCTTTATCAATCTTGTCTCAATTTCCTCATTTAAGAGTGTCATATGTTTCCTTTTGGAGCTCTGGTGTATTCAGAAATGTAGCTGGATCTCCTATACAGTGACATGTACTTCATGGGAAAGGACATGGGTCTCATGAACATATAAGACACTGATAAATTTATCCACTAAGGCAAAGTGATCTTAACACAGAGACAGCTCCTCTGTCACTGAGGATATCCACAGACATGGGAGAAGAAGAAACAGACCAAAGGCAGGTGAGTGGCCAACCTAGCAAAAGGCGAGATGCTCCATCATAGAGAGAATGTGGCTGGAGAAATGATGGATGTGGACAAGAGTGTTGACAAAGAAACTAGTGCTAGATACTGAGGTCATAAGGCTACAGAATAACAATGTAATGAGGTTGAATGTAAATGGAGGGAAGTTAACTTTATATCTCTCATTTTCCCTTGAGTATTCATTATTGCCAACCTTTAAAAGTACTTGCTAATTACAAGCTTCTGGTCTCTTCTAGTTTAACACATAATTACTTTCAGGTAATTGGTGTTTCTGGGTTCCTTTCACCTTCAGGTCTCATTCTTTTCTCCAGACATTAGATAGAAGGTGATGCTCGTGTTATATCATGGGGTAGGGTGAGATGGAGTAGGGGTTGTGGTGCTCTCCTTCTTGTAATGGGATTCAGGACTTATCACAGATGCTGCAGAATGTGTGGGCTGGTGTCACTCCTACGTGGTCAAGGTCCATTGGTCTGCCTTCAGGGGTGGCTGGTGTCTGATCTGAACACTCAGCAAGGGTGGTCTGCACTGAGGCTCTCAACTTCACAGTCTTCTCACTCCTTGACTCAACAACCCCAAGGAACTCTTCAACCAGTACCTACAGCAGCCCTCTGTGGTACACAGTAATTTCCTGACCTCCTCCATGCTAGTGTAGGATAGAGCCAAGGGCACTATCTCAGGCTTCCTGGCCTGAGCATCTTCCTCTACCACTTCTACTAACAACTTGGGTTTGGGTCCAAAGTGACTAAGACACCAGCTGAATTTTGATTCTCTCTAAGGAGTATGAAGTCTTCTAAACTAGGCCAAAGGCCAAGAGGTCAAAAAATTGAATCCTGCTCTAGGATTTTACCACACTTCAAACTAGTGTGGGTAGTTCTCTATCTGCTACACTTCCGTTCCTTCCAAAGTATGGCCCAATGCTAGTGGAAGGTTAACAGGGTAAGGTCAACTCTCACTTTTCACCCTTCTCAGATCCTTTCTTCAGATTTCCCCTCTCAGTACTAAAGTTGTTTCCCATTATCCTTCTCTATAATTGAGAAGTACCTTATCATATCTCCTTTTTCCTTCCAAGTATTCCCTGGTCTCTTCTGTTTGCCAAAAAGAATCAACCCAGACAGGATTTTTCATGCTTAGCACTATTTGACATTTTGGACCAGAAAATCCTATGTTGTGGGCACAGGCAGGGGCATCGTATGCATGTAGTATATTTGGCAGCATCCCTGGTATCTATCCACTAGATGCCAGTTGCAAACTTTCCAGTTGTAACAACTGAAAATGTCTCCAGATATTTCTAAATGTGCCCTGGATGACAAAAATTACTTCCAGTTAGGCTGGGCACAGTTGATCACGCCTGTAATCCCAGCACTTTGGGAGGCTGAGGCAGGCAGATCACGAGGTCAAGAGATCGAGACCATCCTGGCCAACATGGTGAAACCCCATCTCTACTAAAAATACAAAAAAATTAGCCAGGCATGGTGGCACACGCCTGTGGTCCAAGCTACTCAGGAGGCTGAGGCAGAAGAATCACTTGAACCCAGGAGGCGGAAGTTGCAGTGAGCCGAGATTGCAAGACTGCACTCCAGCCTGGTGACAGAGCAAGACTCCGTCTCAAAAAAAAAAAAAATTACTTCCAGTTTAAAATTATAAGGTAGAATTAATAGAGGAAGAGTTCAAGGGGTAAATACAAGAGTCAAAAAAGATAAGGAAAGAAGAAAGAGAGGTAGGGAAAGAAGAAAGGAGAAAGAAAAATAAATCAAGATGTATTTCAAAAAATATCTGCTGCTAGTGATTAACATTTTCCACCGAGGTCACTTAATCTCGCCTATTTGTCACTCCCTTCCAGGAGTGACAAAATCAAATACATCTTGATTCTAAACCTTTCTCCCAGCTCTGCTAATCTACAATTCTGATGCGACACTTTCTCTGTTGAAAAATAATAACCCAAATGGTCATTCTCTTCTTGTGTCTCTGGGAGCTTTAAGAAGCAAACACGTAAGATTAAGATGACTTTCTTATACACACAACCATTATCATTTTATTTTCACAGTCAACCTTTTTTTTTTTTTCTTTGCCTTTTCTCAAAGCTTCCAGGATAAGCATCTAGAAAAACATATGTCTTTGTCATCCTGAAAAAAATGGAGACCTAACTTCAGTTGATGGGTACAGCTATACCAAGAAATCTGAATGGTGTATGCCAGATGATGATGATTTGGACCATGTTCAAGGGACCGCAGTAGAAATCCTTCATTAGCACCATGACATTTTCATTATTGCTGGTGTCAGGAAAGAAAGTGTTGCAAGTATTTGGGGGATAGGGTTTCAACATTTGTCAAATGCAATTACCCAAACTCTTAGCTCCACAGATGATTGGAATACTATCTTCCACTTCCCATAACACCCAATAAGTAGAAAAGGAAGCAGAAGGGTAGCTCATAAAATAGATGCAGGAATAACAACATCGTGTTTAAATTAGAATGACATGAATGAGTTTGTAATACTTTGAAACCACATAACCCTGAGAGAGCTAAAAGCTCTATTAGAGATAATGAGTCCCATAGATGTGGCGTTCCGGTGAAAAGGAACGAGGCAATGTATACATGAATCACAAAACAGAATGCAATCCAAATACAGTTTTCAAACTACAAATGAAATGTTGGCTTAAAGCACTGCCTCTCTCTGCATGAAACACAGAGAGTTAGGTGCTGAATCTCGCTGCTTTAAGGGCTAAAGCTAAGCAGCTCTCGAGGGGAAGGATGAAATAGATGAGTTTCCCCTGAATGTCATCCCAGACACCTGCCACTCTGGAAACGGGCCAACAGTCCTCCTAATGATCACTCTTTCCAATGCAATTTTCAGACACGTCACTTGCCACAGAACTTCCATTTCTGCTATATCCCAGGATTGAAATGTTAGCTAGGCTTCCAGTTTTGTGGCTGCTCTAAAAGCTGTTAAAAGTCAGGAACTGTTTGGGACATTAAAAGACACTTAAAACACAGGGTTTTCTTGGCAGTCTATTCTCTGTGATAAAGGTGAGATGACCTCCTGAAAAAGCATTGCTGCTATTGGCCAGCAGCATCCAGGATTATTCCTTTCTCCTTACTTGGGATCATGATTGTCCTCTCCATAAGGTAAATCAGCACAAGAGAATCTCTTAGGAACTCCAGGGCATCTACAGATTCACAACCATGCTGCTAAGATGGCAAAATATTTAGATGGAAAGTGCAAACTTCATTTTAAAAAAAGGCAAGCAAAGAATTCCCTAAATTCAAAATTTTTTTTAAACTCCAATAAAAAAAAATTTGGTGTCAAAGGTCACAAACTGGATGCCTCATAAGCTAAATTTAGCGCATAGATGTTACCAAGTTAGTTTTGATGAAAAGAATGTTTTAGAAAAGTTGAATTGAAGTGCCCTGAGGTGGGGCATGCACTTCCCTCCTCCCCTCTGTCTCACTGTTCCCTGGTGCTTATATTGACCCACATCAGTCATTTTTGCTATTTGACTAGCCCCTGAAGGTACGTGCGTTTGTAAGCCTGTGTTTCTCAGGGTTCTTAGTTGCACACAATAAAATCCAAGCAGAAATAAACTTTTGTTACAGGACACTATGTCAGTGTCATAGAATCACTGACAGGGCCAGAGGTACGAACTAAGGAGTTACCCAAGCAAGGACAATACTCACCAAAGAACCAGAACTGGACACAACAGGCTCCATCATGTTTTCCTTCAAAGATGACCATTCCCACCGCTGCTCTGTGCAGAAGGTGGACCCGCACCAGCTGCAGCCTCACTTGGCTCACTTCCAGGTCCAACTCTCCCTGGCAAAGCCAGGATCTCACGCCTTCAGCTGTGAGATTTTACTCAATAACATGGATGTAAAAAATAAGATAGACCTACTTATTAAGTTATAAAATTCTAAAAGGAATGTTTTTAATCCTCTGTGAAAAGGTTTTTACGATGAAAGAAAGAAAGAGAGAGAGAGAAAGAAAAAGAAAGAAAGAGAGAATTAATTGATTCCTTGTTTAAGTTAGTAAGACCTTTTCTCAAATGTTAAAGGGGCAGCATTTCACCACCTAACTTACCAAGATGTTATAGTTTGAAATATAAAGGACTCAAAACAATATAAAACTACAAACAAATAAAAAGAAAATTAAACAAGTACTAAAATATGGAGCCAAAAAGAGATGTAGTAACCAACTTAAGCTAAGGGTAGTTACTATAATTGCTCATAAAATAACCATATTTCCCAGCAGCCAAAGCAAAACGAAAAAGTTAGTATGTTAAATGCTTCTTATTGTTTATTAAAAAAACATATACCAGTTTACCAGAGAAATACAACTATTTCATAGTTTTGAACTAAGAAAAATTTATCATAATGTACATACAGTAAACAACAAACTGATGGTGTCATTGAACATGACATAACAAAAGCTCATCGCTATAACTCTATTGATGGCCATTCTTTATTTCAAAGTTTAGGGAATACATTTAAATTGCAGTCTTGTCAAGGCACTTATACCGAGAATCAGAGTAATCAATTCCAGTAGGTGGCTAGCTCATGGTATGCTTTGATATCATGATAAAGCCTTAAAAATCTGATAAAAATAAAAGGTTCAACTTCTCTAAACTGGCATACCAATTTTCTCAGCAGGACTTTTAATGAGCAATACATAACTGTCAAATTCAGATTGAAGTCCTTCCATGCACGTGCCCTGTGCTGCTGATTGCAAGGAGATGCTTAAGTTTTTAAATGAAGACAGCATCACTAGTATTTTACTAAGGAAATTAAAAATTGTAAGTTATTTCCTGACTCATATACAGGCAATACACTGCAAAAAGAGAAAGTCTGGCTGTTGTTCCTGTGGTGGTTGTTTTCCCAAGCCGCGGTTTTGAATTTGTTTAAATACTTGCACAAGGATTTGATGGAACTACTGGAGGTCTGCATGTAAATAACAGGATACAGAACAGACCTGAATCTAGGATTTAAAAGAGCAAGTTAAAGTCTTAGTTCTCAGAAGTCTGTGTGATGTTTGTGATTTGTTCACTCCCTTGAGGCCAAAGAAAAAGGGGCAAGGCTGAGGTTGAAATTGATCTTTTGGATGGGACACTGTATTAGTTATCTATTGCTGTGTAAAAATTTTCTCTAAAACTTAAGGTCTTAAAACATTTATTGTGGCTCAAGCCTTTAATCCCAGCACTTTGGGAGGCTGAGGGGGTGGATCACAAGGTCAAGAGATCGAGACCATGCTGGTCAACATGGTGAAACCCCGTCTCTACTAAGAATACAAAAAATTAGCTGGGCATGGTGGTGTGTGCCTGTAATCCCAGCTACTTAGGAGGCTGAAGCAGGAGAATTGCCTGAACCCAGGAGGCGGAGGTTGCGGTGAGCCGAGAGTGCGCCATTGCACTCCAGCCTGGGTAACAAGAGCGAAACTCCGTCTCAAAAAAAAAAAAAATTTATTATCTCATAGTGTCATTGGGTCAAGACTGTGGGAACAGCATAGGTGTATCCTCTGGTTCTGGGCATCTCAAGGCTTACCTGGGGACAGGTTCGCTTCTAAGCTCACTCATCTTGTTGGCAGGATTCAGTTCTTCATGGGCTGTTGGACTAAGGGTCTCAATTCCTCATGGGTTGTTGGTCTGAGGCTTCTCTTGGTTCCTTTCCATGAGTTTTTCTTTGTAGGGCAGCTCACAATACAGGAACTGGCTTCATCAGAGCAAGAGAGAGGAAAAGAGAGTGCTAGTAAGTCTTGAGTGACTCAAGCCTTTTAAACCTTAATCTTGGAAGTAACACCCTATCACCTTTGCTATAGTATTCTGTCTGTTAAAAACAACTAGGTCCATCCCATACTCACAGAGAGGGAATACACAAGATTGTAAATACCAGTGTCAGAGATCATTGGAAGTTATTTCGGAAGCTACCAACCACTGACATAGACAGTGAGCCTGAGCACTAAAACAAAAGGAAAGTCTGTTACTGAGGTGTAAGCTAGAGTCATGGTTTTTAAGCAAATTTAACGGTTAACATCTTTTCAAACTAAATATTTAAAACAGGTAAAAGCAGGGTTATCCTCCCTAAGCATTGAGTAAGGCCCAGGGCATGGTGGACACTTATCATAGTTGCAGCACAGGTCCAGGGCCAGGCTCCTTGCCTCCTGACACCCAGGGGCTTGGGCACAGGCTGGCAGCATTGGAGATGAAAGCCCACAATGACCTAATAGGAATCCCTGCCAGAGGAAGAAGGGAGAGCTGCTCTAATGGAAGATGGGAGCAAGCCATCTTCACACACAGCCATTCTCATCCCCTGTGTCAGCCAAAATAATTATAGGCAGACAATATATCTTGCAAAACTTAAAGGAAAATCTAACATCTATTAAACCCCTGAAACCTAGAATGCCACCAAAAATAGTGTGAAAATCACTGGAGTCAGAAATCATATAACAAATGGGAAATAGAGGAAATAGAGAGAGGGAAATAGAGAGGATCCAAGATGGCTGATAGCTAACAGCTCGAGATTGTAGCTCCCAGTGAAAGCGCAGAGAACAAGAGGACGCCACACTTTCAGACGAACTTTCGTCACTCAAGGACCAGAAGATTCCCAGTGGAGGAGCCCCACGGGTCGCCAGCCCGACTCCTGTGGCCGGCACAGCGGTCTTGCCGACGCCTTGGCGCAGCAGCTCTTGGTGCAGAGTAAACGGGACTGGTTCCCCTTCTGACCTAGGTTTGGAGCTCCGGGAAGGCAGAGCCGCTTATTATGGACTCAAGAAGGAAGCCAGACTGGAGATTCCCGGGCAGAAAAGCACCATCAGTCTTAACACCACTGTTTTGGCCGGTGCAGTGGGTTGCTCAGATTCCGGCACTGGGAATCAATAAATTGGACGTCCGCTCAGAAACCTAATTAGAAAGGTGGTAACTGTAAAGACAACAGATAGATAAATTTATAACAAAGGGAAGAAACCAGCCTAAAAAGGCTGAGAATACCCAAAATCAGAACCCCTCTCCCTCTACAGGGGATTATAGTTCCTCATCAGCAATGGAACAAGCCCTGATGGAAAAGGACTGTGTTTCATTAACAGAAGTAGGCTTCAGAAGGTGGATGATAAGAAACTTCTGGGAGTTAAAAGAACTTGTTCTAACCCAATGTAAAGAAACTAAGAACTTTGAAAAAAGGTTTGATGAAATGCTAACAAGAATAGGCAATATAAAGAGGAATATAAATGAACTAACGGAATTGAAAAACACAACACGAAAACTTAGCAAAATATGCACAAGTTTAAATAGCTGAATTGATCAAGCAGAAAAAAGGATATCAGAGGTCGAAGACCAACATAATGAAATAACACGAGAAGACAAGAATAGAGAAAAAAGGATCAAAAGGAATGAGCAAAGTCTCCAAGAAACATGGGACTATGTGAAAAGACCTAATTTACGTTTGATAGGTGTACCTGAATGTGACAAAGAGAATGAATCCAACTTGGAAAATACTCTTCAGGATATTATTCAGGAAAACTTTCCCACTCTAGCAAAGCAGGGCAATATTCAACCCCAGGTAATACAGAGAACACCACAAAGATATTCCTCAAGAAGAGCAACCCCAAGGCACATAATCATTAGATTCACCAGGGTTGAAACGAAGGAGAAAATACTAAGGGCAGCCAGAGACAAAGGTCAGGTTACCCACAAAGGGAAGCCTATTAGACTTACAGCAGATCTCTCAGCAGAAACCCTACAAGCCAGAAGAGAGTGGGGGCCAATATTCAACATCCTTAAAGAACAGAACTTTCAGCCCAGAATTTCATATCCTGCCAAACTAAGCTTCACAATTGAAGTAAAAATAAAATCTTTTATGAACAAGCAAGTACTCAGAGATTTTATCACCAGGCCTGCTTTACAAGAGCTTTTGAAAGAAGCATTACACATAGAAAGGAACAACCAGTATTAGCCTTTCTAAAAATATACCAAAAAGTAAAGAGCATCAACATAAAGAAGAATTTACATCAACGAATGGATAAAATAGCCAGTTAACATCAAAGGGCAGTAACCCTAAATTTAAGTCAACTAAATCCCCCAATCAAAAGATACAGCCAAAACCCAATGGTATGCTACATCCAGACCCATTTCATATTCAAAGATACACAAAGACTCAAAACAAAGGGATGGAGAAAGATTTACCAACCAAATGGAGAGCAAAAATAAATAAATAAATAAATAAATAAATAGCAGGAGTTGCAATTCTCGCATCTGAAAATAGATTTCAAAGCAACAAAGATATAGTGATAAATGATCAATGCAACAATAAGAGCTAACGATCCTAACACCCAAGACCCATAAATAGATTTAGACTCAACGAGACAGAAAATTAATAAGGATATCCAGGACTTGAACTCAGATCTGGAACAAGTAAACTTAATAAATATTTATAGAGCTTTCCACTTTAAATACACAAAATATACATTCTTCATTTTAAATACACAAAATATTGATCAGCCATTATTAATACCCATTTTTAGAATAAAGCAATATTCCCGTTTTCTCTCCCTCTTTTTCTTCCTCTTTCTTCCTCTCCTTCACTCCTTTTTTTCTCTTTCTTTCCAAAAAAAAAAAAAAACAAATGGAAGAGTCAAGTCATATGCAGCCAAGAAGTAGAGATCTAAGCAATTCAAATATGTCTTTTCAATGGGAAAGGCAAAGCAAATGGGAGGCTGTGTGAGTGGAGACTGGTGTAATGGAGTATCAGGACCAGAAGGGAATGAGAAAACCAGATTAGAAGCTCATCTGACACTCTCACCCCAACTGTTGGGCACATGGCTTGTCTAGGAGAACATTCTTGAAGCAACAAAACTACAACTGGAGAGAGGTGAGCTTTTTTGGGTAACCATATGTCCTGATTTTACAAGGTCAGTCCTGGTTTGGCTTGTGCTTTTATTAGCAGTCCTCTTTTCTACTCTCAAAAATGTCTCAGTTTAGAAAAATAAATTATCTCCAACTTTCTGAATACCAAGCCTAAGCAACATATACCTGTAAAGACTGGATTTTTTTAAACTTGCCTTGCTCATCATTTTCCCCCTTTAATTTCCTTTTGAGCAGTCCCTTTTTAATGATTAATTCTATACTCAATAACGTCTTTCATTCTCTTCTACTAAAACATTTTACAACTTTCCATTTAGGATTGGCATGTAGTTGGATAGTCAGAGTTAGAATCTTTGAACTTGAAGTAACCTCAAGGATACCTAGTGGTTAATATCAGCAGAATTTTTATCCAGATTAAAACATTTAAGTACTAATTGGCTATAAATCACAAGGATTCAAGCCCCCATAGCAAGAGAAGATGAGCACTGGATGAGACTTTAAAGAGAAACATCAAGACATATCCTCAATTATGACCTGTGATGGCTATTCTAGGGTATAGACAGAAGAATGCTTACTTGATAAGTTAGGCAAAGGCTTATTCACTAGGCCTTAGCCTATGTTCATTTTTGGAATCTGAGCTGGGGTGGAAACATTCCAATACCCATTCTCAATATATTAATTTTTATCACTTATTCAATAGCTATATTCTCCTATGAATTTGTGAACCAGATGCTCTTGAATTTGGATATCCCAGAGAGGAAAGCTAAGGACAAGACACAGTGGAGCAAACTGTAGCTTCTAGGGTTAGTAATAAACATTGGCAAAGTCATGAAATTATCTGGAACTCAGTTTCTTCATGCACAAAATGAAAGTTCTAAGCCAGGCAGTCTAGATATTTTTTTCATATCCAGTTGCAAACTCCCATGTTTATAACAGTGCATTTGACCAAACATTTTTTAACTATTTCCCCATGCTGCAAAATGTACAGGTTCTGGAACAAACATAGATTCAGTCTTTTTCTTCTAGGATATTACAGGTTAGTGGAAGAAATGAGTTGTGGAATATTAAAATGTTGGTAGTAAACTTAGATTTCTAAGAAAGATGTTAGAAGTGCCTGGGTTGGACCGGTGTAATCAGGTAAAGCTCCCTAAAGAAAGAAGCAACAAAACTAAGTCTTTAAAAATCTGTTTACAATAGCAAAGACCTGGAACCAACCCAAATGCCCATCGATGATAGACTGGACTGGAAAAATGTGGCACATATACACCATGGAATATTATGCAGCCATCAAAAACGATGAGTTCATGTCCTTTGTAGGGTCATGGATGAATCTGGAGAACATCATTCTCAGCAAACTGACACAAGAACAGAAAATGAAATACTGCATATTCTCACTCATAGGTGGGTGATGAACAATGAGAACACATGGACACAGGGAGGGGAGCACTACACACTGGGGTCTATTGGGGGGAATAGGGGATGGACAGTGGGGGGGGCTGGGGAGGGATAGCATGGGGAGAAATGCCAGATGTGGGTTAAGGGGAGGAAGACAGCAAATCACACTGCCATGTGTGTACCTATGCAACTATCTTGCATGTTCTGCACATGTACCCCAAAACCTAAAATGCAATTAAATAAAAGAAAAACATATAGAAGTTAACCAGCAAAAAAGCAAGATACAGATTAACATTCTAGACAGAGGAGGCAGCATGCATGAAGTCTCAGAAGTATAAACAGCACCTTAGAATAAGGAAAATCAAATCAGTTCAGTAAGAGAAGTTTATAGAGTCAAGCTAAAATACTCTGCAGAGCCCAGATTATGCAAAAACTTAGATGCATACTAAGGAAGGTGCATGA